ATGGTTTTGACACGGTGGTAGATTTTTTTTCTCAGAAATATAATTATATTCTAATGATAAATGTTTTAAAATACCTACATTTAAATAATAATTCATGAAGAAGACTTATTCTAACAATAATTAATTTTTAACAAATATTAAAAAGACTAAATTGCTCTACAATAAATATATTTTATAATTGATATTTGTTTTCAAATTTAAATAATTTTCGATACATATATTATAACATACCGGCCTTATTATGTGTATCTGTGTTGTATGCTTTACAAACACACCTCACACAAAACCTGGCGAAAGTGACTTATAAATATTGACCTAGTAACTATAGAAATTATCACGTTTATATTGATTAGCATCAGGAAGGGTGCTAGTCCTACTGTCTATGCGTTTTACACTTCTACACGCAGTCCTTCCGGCTTTCAGCTTTTATGTCTTTTTCGTATTATTATTATTTTTATTATAAACTTCTTATCTTATTGTTCCGAAGTAACGCATTTGCTAAAAGTTATACTGAAAGGTTACTCGTTTCAATATCGAAAAGACTTCCTAGGCATATTGAGAGTCTCAATTATGTTTTATTTACTTATAATACCGGAAATAACACCAAATTCAATTATGAAAACGTTCAACCTATGAGTTTAATCTATTCACTGAATAGTTGTTAAACATAGTGATAAACAAATCCAGTAGACCATATTAACTCTTATCTACGAAACATCGAATATTTGAAATTATTCTGCACATCAGTCGGCATTTATGAGGGGAGGTAACACCGTTTAGCTCAAATATAATTTATAAAGTAAATCTCCACTCGCTGGGTTTTTTATGAACCAGAGCGTCACATTGTCATGGTATTTACCTTCTGGGTTTCGAGATTAAATCTCATTTTAAATACTTCAAAATGTCAAAATAATCAAAACTATTAAATATTTATAACTTCGATTAATTTTTTTATAGATTATATTTTGGAGTTTGATCTGTGTGGAGGAAATAGATATGGCAATTACCCTTTATTCATTTAAATCAATTTCATTTACACGATACCATCATATGTCTTTAAATATGCATGCATAATCACGTTTTTAGAATCCTCTCACTCGAACTGTCAAAGTGTCTAGAGTTTATGATGTATGTGTAATCATTGTCAAATCAATTCTCTACGTTTGATGAACTAACTTACACCATTTCATTTATGTGCAAATGACAAAAATACGATGTTTTATTCGAGTTTAATATCGTCTGTGGTATTTCAAATTTATTAGTTTAATATTACTTTGAAGTGGCAGGTACTACACATTTAACTACTACGACATTGATGCTTTACAGATTCAATCAGTGAAACTCGGTTCAGAAAATGTAGATGATATAAGAAATGGCAGTCCTGAGCTTACTTCGTGTCATAGATGTCCTACAGAAATGTGGGATGATTATTGTTTCTTTGTCTTATATCTTTATACAACACTTTAATAGAGAGAGAGAGAAGAGAAAGAGAAAGTCATCTTAATATGCATTATGTTAATACTGATATATATATACAATACTTCAGTATATTTTATAATATGAAACAATACTCCAATATACATTTTTTATTATATCAATATTTATATTTATATTGGAGTATTGGTTCATATTATAAAATATACTGAAGTATTGTATATACATTTTTTATTATATCAATATTTATATTTATGTTGGAGTATTGTTTCATATTATGAAATATACTGAAGTATATTTCATAATATGAAACAATACTCCAATATAAATATAAATATTGATATATATTCAATACTTAAGTATATTTTATAATATGAAACAATACTCCAATATAAATATAAATATTGATATAATAAAAAATGTATATACAATACTTCAGTATATTTCATAATATGAAACAATACTCCATATAAATATAAACATTGATATATATACAATACTTCAGTATATTTTATAATATGAAACAATACTCCGATATAAATATAAATGTTGATATTTATACAATATTTCAGTATATTTTATCATATGAATAATACTCCTTTGTGTATGTATATTGATGCATAGAGCACTGCAGTATATTTATTGATGTACACAATATTCAAAAATAAGTTCATTATTCATTGTTATATTAAAAAGTTACTCCAAAATGATTATATATATACCATACTCAATTCTGTTTTATATTGATACACTAATTCAGACCAATAATGCAATATATATATATATATAATTCGATGCATACAATACTTCAATATATTTATTGATGTAAAAAAAAGTACTCTAGTCTAAGTCTTACTACAGTACAAACTTTGACATAAACAGTACTTCATTATATATATTGAGATACACAATAATACTAGAAACGTATTAACATATGATTCCATCATGTAATTTCTGTATATAGCTTTGATACAGGCTACAATATAATGAACACTTCTGTCATTGTCGAGTGTGTGGACAAATAAATTATCGAATTTATCAGAGCAATCTGTTCCTTTTTAAAGACAAAATGAACAACAGACAGTCGACAGTTACAGTGAAAATAACGTAATGTACAAGACGTCAGGTATACATGGTTTGGCTTCTTCGTTGTCCCGATGTTGTGGTTGACTGGAATAATAGGTTTTAAACAGATTTCCTAATAGCTCAATTACTGCTCGATAGACTAATAAAAGTTGTTGAGTCTGCCAATTAAATATGTTTCGAAACACATAATCAATATTACCTTTTTCATCGATAAAAACGATTTTGAAATACACACTTGTCTGGGTATTTTATTTCTTTGTTGAAAAATAATTCGTTTTTAATAATAATTTTGAAATTAGAATAAGAAAAGTTACGGATTTTTTTTATTTTTGTCAAGGCATTTTAAATAACGTTTTTTAACATTTGTTATATAATTATATAAATAATATTTAAAATGTGTTCTATTATCATTTATATATCTATATGTTGTTTTCGTATTTGGGTATTTGTTAAATATGCTGCTAAAATATATGTTTTATATCCCGATTTGTTATGTAGCTATAAATGAATATTGGTCCATTATTATATTGATATGACGTTAAACGTTTAGTCATTATATTTGAAGTATTTTAAGTATAAATATATCTTCTACGTACTCGGTAGAAAAATATCAGTATGTTGCACTGTATGTTGTATTAATGGTATGGCTTATATACTTGCAGTATAATACCAGAGAGGAAATATTACTTTATTTCATATTACCGCTAGAAAAACTATAACATGGTATTTACTAAAAAGGTCATTTACAATAAGTGTTTTCGGTTTTTCAATAATTGCTTTTAGAGCAAACTCCGTAGCAATAGGTTAAGCATAGGCCAATATCTGAATGGATACTATCTATCAACATTTACATAATTCCTAGCTTGGTTTAGTAGTATTGTTGGGGAAAAGGCAGTCATCATCATAATAATATTAGACCTGTCTGACAAGTTTATTGTGATTCATTATATTTCAATTTCCAGTTTAATTTTGTTTCACTTCAGTTAATATATCGTGATACTAAATTACATTTCATATGTAAAAGTGTGCCTGTCATAAAAAGAATCCTTTCTATATACATATGACAAGCATCACTGAACATCAGTTAATAAGGTGATCCTTGGCTGATAATGTTTTAATGCCCTTTTGATAGCTGACATGATGAGCGAACTGATTAATATTGTAGTTGTATGACACAGGTAATTATCTGATCATTAGCCAGGTAGAAATGCACAGGTGAGACAGACAGGATACATACAGCAGGTGCAAGCAGACTAACTCTTTGATGTTCGTGTGTAATATATCTGCTCCAGTTCAATTGAAACTATAACTATTAAGTAAACCTTAAAAATCCTATTTCATGCATCTGTACAATGTATCAATTTATACTGCATCTGTTATGCGACCTCTGTCAATGACACAGCATGGTGACATTTTAGGGAGTGTGCGCTACATTGGAAACAGAGTCAGATCTTACTGCGTATGAAATTTGTTTGAAATGATATTTGATATAATATAACATTCCTGAGCTTGAATAATTTTCAAAAGTAACCTTTGTATATGTGTTTGATTTTTTATTAATATTTTATTGAATGACAAGTATTTATTGTAAAATATATTTTTAATAAACTACAACAATTTTTTAAATTAAAAGAAACATTTTATCTATAAAGGACCTTTATATTTGTATGTTTTGTATATTTGTTTCTTCTGTATTTTTGTATAGTTGTTTATATTGTATAATTTATATATTTGTATATCTTTGTTGTATTTGATATATTTCATTTATAACATAGGAATTATATTCCTAGTAATTTCCAAGTGCAAATAAAATGAATTGGAATGTTGATTAAACTCATGAAATAATCTTCAATTAATTTTTTATCTTTATACCAAAAATCATCAATATTTTCCACATAATCATTATAAAACATATTCCTATTATTTGCCTGAATATCAAATAATTATTAAGTAACGAAAAGATGCCTTCTTGTATATATCCCCCAACACGTGCCTATTAAACTAGTAATGTATATATCTGTCTCATCATTGAAATAGATTTCATAAAAAAAAAACACAAATTAAATTTCATTCATAACAAAAAGCTGTGCAACCGAAATTTACAAAAATATCTATAAGTTTAATATAACGAATACATATTCATAAAAATGGGTAAACAAATCATCTTACAGCATAGCTGACCATGCATGTACAATGTTACACTCGTAATGAAATACATGCTGTCAATACAATACATAGCAATAAAATGTTTTAACCAATTAGAAATAGAAATTAATGTATATCTACATGGATAAATATTACTCTTATGTTATTGATGTGGTGTAATTTTACACTATACCTAGGTTCCATTGTTCTACATAGAAAATATATTTGTAAAAGTATCAATAATAATATTTCGTTCATACATTTCTGTTAAATTTCTAAGCTAAAACTGTAATGTTTTATTGTATACGAGTAATAAATAAACATGAATCGTTTGATTTACACATCAGTTGATGATGATTCCCATAAACAGTGGTATCTGTCATATCCTTTATCATCTCTCTGATCATCTGTTTCATCTCACTAATCCCCGTGTTTCGCCATGCCGTGACACGGCCAGGATGATACCTCTACAACAGTTAAAATATGTTTTATTAACAATTCCTAGTTACAGATGTATATCTGTGCTCCGATAATGATCACTTCAAAGTAAACTTAGAGAACATGTTCTCACATAAGAGAAGATAAGTTAAATGTTTGAATTCATTTCTGATATAAAAAGAAATTTCTTAACACGTTATTTTTTAAAAATTAAACAAGCATGGTCATTTAAATATCTAAGATAAAATACTGGTCTAATTATTCGAATACTTGAATCGAGACGTAATTGACTTAGATTGTGCCAGTAAGATTTACTTTATCGCGAGAACTAGAAGGCTCCCTGGGTAACTTTGATAAGCGAGGCATGTTTTTCGGGGTACATGAAGTGCGAATGTCAGCTTGCTCCCGATAAGAAGATTGTTTCACAAAACAACACCGAGAAAACAATGAGACTTAGTCATATTGTTAATATTTTCTTCCCGTGTAACACCACATTTTTATCTTTTATTCACGGAAACTACCTCATTGTTGAGCATTCTCGTCCTGAATTGACCCCGCCCACCTCGCGTTCAGGTAGCCAGGTTGTATTGTTTAAATCTGTATACCTCACAAGTAACCCGAACTACAGGTCTACCTGGCCGGTGAATACACACAATCTGATAGGGTCCTCACTTCTTATAAAAACAAGTAAGATTATACTGATATTTACGGCCAGTAGTCCGCTTATTAAATTATCTAAATCAATTAACTGACACAAAATTCACGTGGTTGCGGTTAGGGTATTTGTCGGGGTCCCACACAAGACAAAACTCTATTCTTGTAAGGCTGTGACACATGTCTACCCACAGACTTAGGCCAACGCAATGTTTTGTTCGTTGTGATTATTTTCCCAAATACTCAAACTACGACAATGATTTGTGTTTTATGGTTGTGACACATGTCTACCCACAGACGTAGGCCTAGGCAATGTTTTGTGTTTATGTCTGTGATGCATGCCTTCCTTTACACTCAGGCTAAAACTTTGTTTTGTGTTTTATGACTGCCATGTGACATGTCTACCACAAGACGCAGGCCAATGTAACGTTTTTTGTTTTGTGTTTTTGACATATGTCTTCCAACAGACGCAGGCTAAGACACTATTTTGTGTTTTGTGGTATCGATTAAACGCAAAGACTCGTTATGATTTTAATATAATTGAGCGATTGAATTATTTGATCCTGAATTTGTTTCATGAACATTCCATGAACTTTAAGTACATTAATAGTTTTAAATGAAAATTGAGGCTGAATTGTACATGCTATTGATCGGATAGGTCTTGGTCATGTTTTAACTCTACAACACATTGTGTTACTATGCATGGGAAAGTGACCTGAATTTAACATAATGTTAACTCTTTCACATATACTATAAAAATGTTATTAGAATTGTACATGATATTCATTTATCAAAATGTCTGTTCCTTCTTTTCGTATTGCAGAGTTATCTGCTCTTGTGAGCAGGTATTGATTAATTGTTACGTCATTAGTTTGTGTGAGAAAATGACGTCGTTTTCTCAAAAAATTATGACGTTACTATCACAAACAAATGACGTAACAAGCAATACCTGCTCACAAGAGCAGATAACTCTGCAATACGAAAAGACGGAATACACCTGTCCAACTCACAAATTAACACATGTAGCATAATACATATATGTGGCCTTTATTTGACAAACAATGCTTTGTGGTGTTGTGGTATGTGTATAAACACACCTGTAGGAGTTGAAAGAAAGCCGACGATGACTTAATTGAATATCTATAACACACGGGCAGGTAGTGTTACCAGTGACAGCCACAAGTTTATTTGTAGGGAGAATATTGTTTACTGTTGTTATATGAAGACATTCATATGAAAACATGTTAAAGCAACGCAGCCGTCTTTTTTATCAAATGAGTACAGATCAAAACACCTGGTTCAATTAGGTAAAATCACTCAACGAAACTAACCATTCATTAAACATTTCTACGTTTCTGTTACAATATGTGTTATAAATCTACTGCAAGTATAGACAGCATGTCCTCTGTGTAGTATTAACAGCAGTGCTTGAAAGTCAAAATCCTCGTTTATATGTTCCCTTCTTTTTGTTTCGAAATTTTGTGAAATAAGGAATGATCTTTTCTTGTATGTTTATTTCCTATGATGAAAACTTTTCTCTGCCTTCATTCAAATGCATTACATTTTTACCAACACCTTAAACATGTCGCTTTAAAATCTCTACATTGCACCAAATGCGCAGTAAAAATATGTTTTAGGGTTGGTCTACGTTGGTGGTAAGTCTTTGTGGCGTGAATTAATTTAATAGAGCTTCTCTCGAGCAGGATCTATGTAACCAAATACAAGTAAAAACACCTCCCAGATGCATGACCAGTTTTAGGGTTTACGACATGAAGACGAATGCTGGGTTTCTCTGTTATATAATCCGTTGTGGGATGTTAGAAAGGGCAGCAATCACTGCCCGTCCATAGACAGGGGTATATTATATTCCTGGGGTATACACTCGTTTATGACCACAAAATGCTGATGCATTTAGTGCACCTGTTCAATCAAGTATAACAACCACAAACACTACTTTTGGGGGTAAAGTTGTATTCATTCCTTCAACTCGGATTCCTAATAATGATTTTTGAATTGATCAGAAAATTGATAAGAGATACGAATTTTATCAAACTTCAATATTAAGGAACAACAAAAGGAAATAAAAAAAACGTCCCAACAAAAAGAAAGACATGATGGACATTCACACTAACTATTAAAGACGAAACCATATTCTCCGTTAAAAAAACAGTACTTAAATTTCAGACATGATCACAAATACAGGATAATAAATATTATGAAATGAAAGAAAATAAACCATACAATTTGTGTAATAGGATACGCTTGAAAACCGAGACAAATCAGTAATGCGTCTTCTCAATTTATGTTCATAAATTCTCATACGTGTTTACACGTCTAAAATGTCTGATAGCCGAAAGCGTATTATAATACATATTTCATACGTTACCGTGATAGTTTAATCTGGCGAGTCGCCATAACCTAATTTTGCTATTTGATAATTGTAAATAATTAGCTTTCTTTAAAACAAGACTCCATATGCGTGTTTAATTATAGCTTGCTATTTCAATGTAACGGTGTTTGTTTGCGCATGCGTTATTTGTATCGCCCTAGGTGAATGAATGAGTCAATGATTAGGATCAAGGAAACTGAGCTGTGGCAATTTTCATTATTGAATTTGAATTTTTGCAAATTATTTGTTAAGTGTATAAAAACCAAATTGAAAACGACGAGTTTAATCATTAGTTATTTTGCATGTAAAAATCCAATATATTACTTCTTTGTTTTACATGTATGGTTTTAAAATATATATAGCTAAAGAAAATTGAAATCAGCCATTTAATTTCACAGAAAACATGCAAAATATACTGAAAACAACCTCTTCGATTCTTCATTTTAAAACATTAATTAAAGACAGATCGCGTTCGACCCTACAAACAAAACTTAATAGGCAAAATATCAGAGGAATTTACGCAACAGACATTTGCATTATTACAACATTAAGGTATGTGTTACCTGAAAATTATTACAGAAAATACTTATAACTGTATAGCCGTAACATATATTCTCAGAAAAGTAGCAAAAATAATTAGAGGAATTAAGTTGAAATAAAATTTCCATACAAATAATAAAACATATCCTGAACACCTATAGTTCACTTTAAAGAAAAAAAAACTTAAGTTTGAATATATTTATTTATCTACAATTGTCAAAAATCGATTGTTGTTCTACGGTTCTGGAGACTGGCTCAGTGAAAAAGGGAAAACATTAATAATTCAAAGACTTTCGCAACAAAATCGTATGAGGTATGTCCCTCTGACTGGAGGTGCTACACCAGTCGATGACATGGCTTACATATCGTGTACCTTGGGACACGAACGTTGGCCTGGGAGACTGATGGAACCACTGTAAGACAATGGCAGTGTGGTGCCTGGTTGGCTGGCCAAGCCGTCGGATTGTGTCCCAGCATTGTAACAAACGAGACCATGCATTAGTGATAATTATTACCACATACTTACGCAACATGTACATTGTCATTTTTTACAGTCTGAACAAAGCAGAAAGGACAGAAGATAATAAAAAATAAAGAAAAGTATTAGTCAGCTACATTTTTTACGAGAGACACTTCGGGTTAAAAGAAGTAATTTCAAAGTACTTAAAACAATATTATATATCATGTAGGTAATTCAACACTCTTGTAAAAATAATAAGTATGTGAATGTTATCATTGTATGAAATTTATTTCGTGTTAAAATATCATGTTAGTTTTCAAATTACCTTATTACCTATTAACATTTACATATATCTAATGTTGTTGATGAGCAGACAAGAAGCTCGATCGATCAGCTACTACCTTCAGAAAAAGTCCTACTAACAACGTGCGATGTTGAAGTGTAGGTGAAAGTGCCAATATCTGTTAACATTCTCTTCCTAAATCTGTTTTGAGTAAATATTCGTTATCGGAAATGGAAATTTAAGGTGTGCAAAGATGTTAGATAGTATCACAATAAACAAAAACAAAAAGATAATATTTTCAGCAGAAACTAGAAAATACAAGAGATTGGAATTTTACATTGAAAAAGAACGAAATATTAAATAGGGGGAAACGGAATTATGTCATTTGAACATATCACTACAACACCACAATTAATAAAAGTTGTATAACACGAAGTGCTTCACGTTGTGGTGAATACAGTGTTGTTTTATATATCTCAGCGTTGCAATCATATTACAATTAACATTTAATTGTATCAAAACAAATATTGTAGTTATTTCTTAGCGTTTAAACTATTTCTACTACACATAGATACATGTCTATGGAAGATGAACGTGAGACACAAACAGGTGAGTACATTAATAGATACAGGTAAGCCAACAATAGGTAACAATGCATCAGACAGCTGTTTCGTCCTTCTAGGACTCATCCATTGTGATATTG